GCACACCATTAAGTTGTCAAACTGAAATTAAATGGCAATTTTTAAAATAAGCCTTAAAGTGAGCCATATGATACTGCTGAGAGCTGTGACAAAGAGGTCTGAGAAAGGGAAAGTTGAAAAGTTCCTTCTATTGGAATGCACAGAGACCATTATGAGAGAGAGAATTTTCCACTGGTAAGGGTTCTAGCCTGGGGCTCGAGAGCCTTACTTCAATTTAGTGTTCTGCTATGAGCTTCCTGTGTGACCTGTATTCCTCTTCTTTAGCTGTACCATTGAGATAACAGCCCTTCCTCACCTCCCAGGGGCACTGAGAATGAATTCATTACAGATTGTGTGGCATTCAGATACTACATATACGTTTTATAGGGACCATATAAGCACCTAAGAACATGACACAACATTATAACACCCATTATTCCTAACTTTAAAACTATCTACTGAGAGTTCATTTTAACCTCCTGAATAGTCACAAAGATAGTTTGACTCATGAATGGGCACTTTGGGTCATGTAAAAATGTTGTACAGCCTCTCGTCCTATCTCTGTACTGTAAAAACAAACACCAGTTTAGCAGCCATCTTTTCAAGGATTCAACAAGGGCCATGACTAGACTCAGAGCTTTTCCGGGATACCTTCAGTATCCCGGAAAAGCTATGCCACATTTAAGGAACGAAAAATCTCTGAAAAAGCAGATGTGTTCTTTTGCTATCTCTGTAAACCTCGTTTCACGAGGAAGAAGCGATGGCTCGAAAGAGAAGGTTTTTCTGAAATTTGGTGCCGTGTAGACATGCCAAATTTTGGAAAAGCCTATTTGAAAGAAAAGAAAATTGCAGTTTGCAATTTGCATATCTTTTCCCTACTTTTCTTTGTAGCGTAGACATAGCCAAAGTGAACAACATTCAGGACTACTTTTGTAGGAGTAGAAAATTGGCTTCCAGTTTTTCTCTTTAAAAGAATCCAAATCTATAGAATTTGGTTTTATTTTGAAGTTTGGGTAAATCAGGAAGTGAGGCTGGTGCATTTTAGGGACTGAATGTTTATTGTAAGTTGAGAACAGCATCCAGTGGTAAAGCAGAACTTTAACAGCAAGGTCATTTACAAATGCAAACAACTTCAGACCATTTTAACCGAGAAAATTCAAGGCAGGAAACAGCTACATAAACCTACTAGTTCTCATTGTAGACAAAGATGTCTCTAAGATTCAGATACCAATGCAAAAAACAAAAACAAATCACCCTGAGATATATTAACAGGAATGTTGTAAGCAAGAACCAGAAGTAATTTTTCCAAGGTACTCTGTGCTGATTAGGCCTCAACTGGAGTTCTGCGTTCAGTTCTGAGCACCACATTTCAGGAAAGATGTGGACAAACTGGAGAAAAGTCCAGAAAAGGGCAAGACAAAATGATTAAGATCTAGAAAACAAGATCCATGAGGAAAGACTGCAAGAATTAGGTTTGTTTAGTCTGGAAAAAAAGAAGACTGAGAAGGGACATATCAGCTTTCATGTATTTAAAAGGTCATTATGAAGAGGAAGAAAAACTATTCTCCCTCAACTCTGAGAACAGGAGAAGATTTAGTGGACTTAAATTGTAGCCAGAGAGCTATAGATTGGACGTTAGGAAATACTTCATAATTGTCCTGGTGGTGAAACACTGGAATAAATTGGCTAAGAAGTTTGTGGAATCTCCATCAACTGACATTTTTAAGAGCAGGTTAGACACACACCTATCAGGAATTATCTAGATGATGCTTGGTCCTGCCGTGAGTGCTGTGGACTGGACTCGATGACCTCTGGAGTTCTATGATTCTGATTTTAAACCCACCAAAAGCAAAAATAAGTACAAAAAATCCAGAATTAGGCTTGTCCATTGCTGTTGGAAGAAAATTGAACCCAAATTTGGCCTGAACAACAATATGAATGTTCATGTAAAACATATACTCTTCAACAATGTATATAGACATTTCTTATTTAAAAAAAGACAAATGATAGCAGTGGTCATTTTGCTATAGAGTGCCATTTGTTACTCCAGCAAAGTACAGCCCAGTGTAAGAGATACTAAATCAATTTTCATACAACATTATATCTTTATTTTTAAAATATATCAAGACATAATCTGATAGGTGGATGACTGAAAGATCAAGCCTCCATATTTGCAGAAGACATTCATTAAATAAATCAGTATTGAATCAAAATAGATATGTATGTGCAATCTCCGACATAAGAATCCTTTCTAAATCGCTGATTTAAAATGTCACCTTGCAGCAAAACATTGAATTATAGCACTATTCTTTGAGTCAAGTCAGCTGGTGTCAATGATTAATTCTGATGAAGGATGGCTAGCTAAAGCACTTGTGCTGTAATAGGTATAGAAAGTGAAAGTATTTTTAATCTTCAGATTCAATGAGAACTGAGCAGCCAGATATTCTAGATGGCTTTGAAAATCTCAGCCTAAAGCTTTATAATCACTAACTAATGAGTGGCGTGACATTAAGTGAGCAGCATTGTGCAGAGGTGAAGGGAAATGGAGCAGTATATTAAATGACTTCTCCGAAGCCACAGAGGGAGTCAGCTCACAGAGCTGTTATTTGTCGCTTTTGGAATTGCTCTCGAGGAATTTTGTACAGTTTGAGAATCGCAAGGCCAGATTTTTCTAAAGGGAGACCTGACATCTCAATATGGCACTTTTGGTTAAGCCACCATGTTCCCTGCATCCTCATATTACTCATGATGGTGAAATATATTCTCTGTCTTCACACAGTGACGCTAGATCATCACGGTGACCTCTACCTGTGCTGAGATCGTATAACATGTACAACTCTTCAAAGATATGGAATAAAGTTGTAAAAACTGGGAATGGTCCACATATTTTGGCAAGTGGGACGCTGGCAACTCTAGCAACTTCCTAGTATGTTCATGTGCACAAAATTAAATACTGATGTGAGAAAAAGTTTTATAAGTTGCATGACCATCCTGGTCAAATCACTCACGGGTTGATTAATAAACCCATTGAGTAGGGATGGCCCAAAATTTTCCATCCCAACAGTTTTCCATCAGAAAATGCTGCTTCTCCAACATTGGATAATTTCATGGAAATGGACCAATTTCAGGGATATTTTATGCAAAATTATGGAAGCACTTCATTTCAATTAGCTCAAAGTACTTTCTTTCACATTTGATATATTATAAAAATAAAAATTGAAACAAAGTACTTTGACTTTGGCAAGACAACGTAGTCTAATATTTCTGAAATGAAGCTTTGTTTAGCAGGAAATGTCAGAAGGTTGACCTTTCCTTTCAATCCAGGGCTAAAGTAAACTTTAAAGCAGTGGAATTTTCCTGAAACCCAAAAAACCTGACTCTACAGTTTAAGCACCTAACAATGCACCTTAACAGGTCATTTAAGCATATTAAGTCTATATATTAGAGATTTGTGTGTCTGTCTATCTGTCTGTGACTCTATCTATCTATGTGTCTGAGAGTCCATTTGTTCAAGAACTCCTCCTAAACATTAAGAACTAGGACCACCAAATTTGGTATGCAGCTGTCTCTTATCCTACCTTAAAGCAAGGTCAGGGTTTGGTATTGCCAGGACAATGGGATCTGCCCGAAATTCAATTGTTTTCCATAACATGGAAAGGGACGGGGAGGGGGGGGCATGATACTCACAGTCACTACTGAAGGCAGCAAGAACAGAGGACAACCATACGACAGAGTGGCCACTGGGAGCAATCACACCACCAAGGGATTGGCCAGGTGGGGATGGGGCTCATCATCTTGCCTTCCACTGGCCAGGTAAGTGGCCTCTCCCTGTCTCAAACCCTCCAGCCAGTGCAGCCCCGCCACCCCACTAGCACCACCAAGCCACGCAGCATGGCTGCAGCTGGCCAGCCAGTGAGGGTGGCCTGCATGGTTCCTCCTTACCCCCACCCCAGGCTGGGCCAGGAGAGCTCCAGTGTGGGAGGCCTGTACAGCCCCAAATCAGGTCCACAGAGTGCTGGCAAGGAGGCCTCCATGACCCCTGCCCCTCCCATCCCAGGTCCAGAGTGTGCCAGTGGAGGGAGGCCTGTGCAGTCCCAATCACTGGCCCTGCGCAGCACCCTTCCCTAACCTTAGCACTGTCCCTGGCATGGCCACTCCACCCCCCATGCCAGAGCCAGCCCCCAAACTCCAAATTCTGAGCTGAGTCCCTCTCTAGCCCCAGTGTGGGTCCCCCCCTTTCCGGTCCTGGTCCCGCCTAGGGAGTGCCAGCTGGAGGCCTATGTAGCCTCCCTCCCCCTCCACACACACTCCTGGGCTGGACCACAATGCCAGGTATGTCTGCTAGTATTTTCATAACTGGAGGTAGGCCACAGTTAGCACCCTTTTTTCTTCCATTGGCAGCTTTTATTCTTTTGGCACCTATGAGTATTTTATAAATAGTTTAAGCACAGATCTCATCTCAATCTATAGGTCTTCAGTTCTGCTCCTTGGAGAGTTGCAATCATTACTGATCAATGGCTGTGTTCCAGACATGGTGTAGGCCCAAGTTTATAATTTTAGCAATTTTATACCTAAAGGTCTTTTTTCAAATTAGGTATGGATATTTCAAAAATGTTCAGTTAGGGAAGAAGATCTTGGTTACTCATTATCAAGAGAAATGTCTGACTTCGTTGCCAGACTGTCTCATTGTTCCATATCAGTTGCAGCGCTGTGGTTTAGGAATGGAGGGACAGGCTGTGTATGAGGGACTGTGTCTGTAAAGGTGGGAGGGGGGGACCTAAATGGGTCAGAGATTGAACTGTATGGGAGTCAACCTAAAGCATGGAATGTAAAAATGCATGCATTGATTTTGAAGGGTGAAGGACAAGTCTCAGTATTGGGGTGGAAGCAGGGCCGGCCCACAACATTTTAGCACCTGAGGCGGGGAGCTCAAATGATGCCTCCACGCCACCTTTTCTCCTCCCTGCCTGTTATGTCTCTTGTGCCCTTCTTCCTCCAGCACAGCACT